GCCATCGTAATGCGCCAGTTTAGCTAAGATTATTTTTATCTTCTAAATAAAAATGACCTCCTATCTTTTGCTGAAATCTAAAAATATTTATTCCAATTTTGGCTCACTAATATCTTAGCCGTGCACTTGATGTCACTGCCTTTATTGTCTTTATTCACTAAAACTGTTGAAAATTTCCTTAAAGCAGGGTGTCTCATTTATGACTTGGTGTTCTGTTTAGTATTTAGAAGCTAATTCCCTCGTGTCAAAATATTAAAATGCGAACTGTATGAAAGTTGAATTTATTTTAGTGTTGCCTGCCAGTTAGGATCCAAAAATTGCAAAATATTGCATTTTTCCTTCATTTTTTGGGGCATGTGTTTTTGTTTAGTTCAGCATAGTATTTCAAAATTTCCTTTTCTAACCCTTTATATTCTAATGTTCACAAGTATATGTACGTGTTGTTGTTAGTTTTCTAAGCTTGTTTTTGGTTGATCCTTGTCACCTGTTAATTTAGTTCATTATGTCTTTCCCGAAGTGGGTTTGTTATTTTGGTCTAATAATTGGGTTTCCGTTGCATTTTTGTTATGAAGTGCATGAATAATTTTTAATTTTGATTAAGTCATGTTTTAATCGTCTTCCTCATCTCAAGTGCTAATTTTATTTTCTTTGGTTTGTTGTGAGAATCGCCCAATTTCGAGCCTTCAAAGGCTCCTTCCTTTGCATCTCATGGATTGGGCCTTACAGGCCCAATTGCATATTTTCTATCGAGTCCAAAACAGCCGACGAACAGGGCAGAAAAATGATAAATATGGGCCGGAAAATTAAATTCAGATTCCGAAAGATTGAAAATAGGCTGAGATGCAGCCTGTATACACAGATATACAACGGGATATACTGATATACAGGTTAAAACGCAGCAGCCACAGGTCGAAAAATAAAGGATGGGTCGGGAGCTGAAATACAGGTTCTAGAATCTCGGAAAAATGGGCTGTATACGTCCGATATACACGGATATATACAAACACGGGTTTAGGATTAAACCCCAAAATTTCAGCGAATTTGGCCCAAAAGGAGGCCCAAATTCAATTTCTCCCTACTCTTTAATTATTTAATTATGATTATTTATTGTTTATTGTGTGTTGGCTCTAACTTTTAAATTGTTAACTAACCTAATTAAATTCCCCAAATGATAAGTTATTTTCTTTGTATTGGCTTACTTTTAATACATTCGTTTATTTGTTTTTGTATTCATTTATCTTACTAATCAAATATATTGGCCATATTTTATCTTAATTAAATCTTTTGTTCTTTAAAAGATATGTTTTGAATGCCTCTTCCTTTAATCATCTTGCTTATTTAAATGGTTTTAAGTTAACACTTTTCTCAAATGAACCAAAAATAAAAATTGTGTGTGTTCTCTTTTACCAATTGATTTAAAATGGTCTCATGCTTTAATTTATTAAATTGGTTCAAATTATTATTTTAAAAAATGAATTAAATAAATTTTAATTAATCTAACTTTATTAAAATTCTAATCACTTGTATCACAAGCCAAATGTGTCATTATTGAATTCTTTTCTCTAAAAAAGAAAATGTGTCATTTATCTAATTATTTTTTCAAAATTAATTAAATATTGTAATTTATTTAAATATTCCTATGTTAAATTTCTCAAAATTAGTCAAATCAATTTAAGTCAAATTGCCGGTCAACCGCAAGTTAGCGGACATTCCGAGGGCCTAACACCTTCTCGGAATGTACATTGTACTTCGAACCCTTTTATTTTCAATTGATTTTATCTGTTTAAATCTTTTTGAAAACCTTGTATTTTTTCTTGATCTTTTACTAAAAAAATTAAGTGGCGACTCTGTTATTTTGGAAATTCGATTTCTCTTAAACCATAAGTTTAATCGATTTTTCAAAAACTAAGTCATTTTCCTTTTATATGTCTTTTTAAATAAAACAGCTACAACCCTGTCTACGGGTTTTGTCATGTATTTGTGTTTATGACTTCACTTAATATGTAGAAACAATTTATCCAGAATCTACTATGCTTGCTTTTCTAGAATACAACACTGATAAACTCAAAATCCTAACTCCGTTAAAGTTACAAACACACTAGTATGGTGACCAGGAATAATAAAAAGAGCTTGTAACAGACTATCTGCCAGGGTCAAGGTCTTGGGAACTCGGGCACATCTATGGTTGATAATAAAATTAGATGGGGTGCGATTGTACGCCCTGGAAGTAAACAACATTGAAGGTAATTAGTTAGTACGTTATATAATTCGAATACAGAAATTTATATGAGGTAAAAATCTATACAATTATGCCTAACCAACAGAAGAAAGGCAACAAAGTTTTCATTTCAAGATTACTACACACACTGAACACCTTTTACAAACTACAATTTCAGTGCAGTCGACCATGATAAGGATTTCAGATCCCTCGATGTGGAGTAACTACAATGTTCTACTCCCATGATATGTAGTCCCTCCAATCGAACTAATCTTGATAAGACCACTGGTGAAATCCTTTTAAGTACTCTATGCTTATTCAAAAACTCTTAACAAAATTAGATTGGATCAATTTTCCTTTCTCCACTGGAACCTCCTCTAGGTTCAACTTCGTCGCCATGACTAGCTTCTTGTTGCTGCAGGAAACAGAGAATGCAAAAGAAGAGAGAGAGATGACTAGCTTATTAAGTAAAAGAAAGTTGATGAAGTATCTAAAACTTAAAGAGAGCAGTAATAGAACCTTAGAATATCATGTAGCAATAATTTGTGCAGGTTACATTAATTAGTTTGAAATTATGTGTTAGGCATGTTAGGACGTTTACTTTAGGTCCTATGTTTTTCTGGAAGTCGTTTGGTTATAAAAATATAGAGAATTTCTGGTACTTTTTATTTTTGTGTAATATTGGTTTGAGATGAGCCTAAATGGAATGACCTGGTTAGTGAAGATTTAGATAGCCGACCCTAACTTGCTTGGGATTGAGGCGTTCTGGGAGTTAGTACGTTTACTATTTCTTGGAATTGTCTAGTTTTGTCAAAGGTATAAAAAAATATAGAGAAATCCTAGTGCTTTTTATATTTTATTTTGTGTAGTATTGGTCCAAGATTAGCCTAAATGGAACGACATGGTTATTAGTTAGACTTCATATTGCTGATCCCAACTTGTTCGAGATATTTGAGACGTTCTTGTTTTTGTGATAAATCTTCTTAAAGAGTGGTTTATATTGCGATTTAGACTTCAATATGTATGTTTCTTCTTGACTTACAATTCATCTCTTTTGAGTCGAGGGTCTATTGGAAACAACCTCTCTACCCCGCAAAGGTAGAGGTAAGGTTTGCATACATCTTACCCTCCCTAGATCCCATTTTTGTCTGTAAACATTTACCTTCTCAAGCTATGTTGCTCGGACTCTTGGGAAAAATGTTGCTGGGATCCTCAAAAATGCTCTACTTTTGAAGGATCTTCTTTTGAAGAGTTACAGCCACATAGCCAATTTGATAATTGTTGTAACTCAATGAATCATCTCTCATTTCTCTCTCAGGTATAGAGCAGAAACAAGTGCATATTATCGAGGTGCAGTTGGCGCGATGCTAGTCTACGACTTAACAAAATGCCAATCATTCGATCATATGGCTAGATGGCTGGAGGAACTAAGAGGTCACGCGGACAAGAACATACTTATAATGCTCATCGCGAACAAATGTGATCTAGGAAGTCTTCAAGCTGTACCAGTTGAAGATGCTCAAAAATTTGCAGAAAGGGGAAATCTCTTCTTTATGGAAACATCAGCTCTTCAATCCACAAACGTCGAGGGTGCATTCATGACAGTTTTAACAGAAATTTATAAAATCATTAGCAAGAATATGCTTATTGCAGCTCCGGGAGCTGATTATGGGAAGTCACAATCTTTAAAGGGAACCAGGATCATTGTTCCTGGCCAGGACTCGGATTCTGGTGGGAATAGTGGTGGTTGCTGCATGTCGTCATGATTTTTTATCAAGTTCTGGAGGTCTTTTTATTTATCCGAAATCATAATATAACTGGGAATGATTTATGTTTTATGTAGAATAGGAAATTGTTGTTGATGATGAAGTTGATTTAGCTAGTTTGTTTAGCTATTTGTGTATACAGTTCATTAAGTTGTTCACTGGGCATCAGGGGCGGAGCTACAACCCTGTCTACGGGTTTTGTCATGTATTTGTGTTTAAAAATTCACTTAATATGTATAAACAATTTATCCAGAATCTACTATGCATGCTTTTCTAGAATACAACACTGATAAACTCAAAATCCTAACTCCATTAAAGTTACAAACACACTAGTATGGTGAACGGGAATAATAAAAAGAGCTTGTAACAGACTATCTGCCAGGGTCAAGGTCTTGGGAACTCGGGCACATCTATGGTTGATAATAAAATTAGATGGGGTGCGATTGTACGCCCTGGAAGTAAACAACATTGAAGGTAATTAGTTAGTACGTTATATAATTCGAATACAGAAATTTATACGAGGTAAAAATCTATACAATTATGCCTAACCAACAGAAGAAAGGCAACAGAGTTTTCATTTCAAGATTACACACACTGAACACCTTTTACAAACTACAATGTCAGTGCAGTCGACCACGATAAGGATTTCAGATCCCTCGATGTGGAGTAGCTACAATGTTCTACTCCCATGATATGTAGTTCCTCCAATCGAACTAATCTTGATAAGACCACTGGTGAAATCCTTTTAAGTACTCTATGCTTATTCAAAAACTCTTAACAAAATTAGATTGGATCAATTTTCCTTTCTCCACTGGAACCTCCTCTAGGTTCAACTTCGTCGCCATGACTAGCTTCTTGTTGCTGCAGGAAACAGAGAATGCAAAAGAAGAGAGAGAGATGACTAGCTTATTAAGTAAAAGAAAGTTGATGAAGTATCTAAAACTTAAAGAGAGCAGTAATAGAACCTTAGAATATCATGTAGCAATAAGTTACATAGCTAGCGGAACAAGACATACCTTGTTATTGAACCTCTGCTGTATCCATTTATTTAGATCATCTACTTTCACCGTATCATCAAAGTTCACATTTTTGAGACTCGGTGTACTCACAGATATTCCCAGTTGAACAAACGTCTTCATTCCAGGGCAGTCACGAATAGACACAATTCTGAGTAATGGAAATTCAAGAGCATGCTCTGTCAGAAAGAAATGCCCTAGCTTAGGCAGGTTGAAAAGGTACAACTCTTGCAATCGGGGAAATAAGGTCATGATTCCTTCTCCTTTTGTGATCACTTCTTCCATTGATAGACAATCTTGTATCTCTAGCACTTGGAGATTCAGAAGACCTTTGGCCACTGATGGAGACATCAAGTTTCTCAATTTTCCACAATCTGATACTTTCAATCTTTGAAGTTTGGTGAAGTAGTCAGTTGGAAGTTGGTGAGAGCATAGAGCACTTATACTGTTAGGCCCCCGGATAGATAGAAGTTCCAGGTTGGGACAAGAAACCTGCGAGCTTTGAAGTATCAAATTTTGTTGCAGATACAGTTGGAGTTATTGAGTGGAGAAGCCAAAAGTGCTTACACACATTTATTTATATATTTTTAAAAAAGCCAAATATATATATATATATATATATATATACACATATATATATATACATGGAGAGAGAGAGATAAATTGTGTATGATCTTGTTTCATATTTAAAAAAGTTTTTTAGTATGTAAATACATTAGTTTTTTCTTCCATTTGGGCTGAGTCTAGAGCGGTAGAGATAACTTTTGAAAATAACACGACATTGTTTAAATTAAAAAATTACTATTATATACTTTTTAATTAAATAAATATAATTTTTTTAACGAAAATGATAAATATGCACCATATATTAGACGGTAGAGTATAAATGCACCAATTTTATTAACAAATAAATATATTATTTATTTTCTTTTTGAACATACACATTCTTTTCCTAATGATATTTTTTTTATTAGCAAATGTTAATCCTACTTCAATTGGAAAAAAATAATACTAAAAACATTTCTTATTTTATTATAAATATCAAAATAAAAATTAATGGTTGATTTACTATGATCTTATATATATATATTATCAGTATAAACGGTACATTTTTTAATAGTTAAAGTAATTCTAAAATAAAGAAAACAATAATAGAGTACTTTAAAAGTAATATCTTTTAATAGGAATAAGATTTGTTCAGAAAGAAAAGAAATAATATATTTTTGACTCAAGTAGTAACAATAGAAACATTTCCAGAACAAACTATCAATGGCAAGAACATTTTCTTACTAAAGTAGTGAGGGCAAGAACATTTTTGGACTAAATTATAAATTGAGGGCATTTTTGATCATTTTAGGTAAGTAAGGCATTATCGACCTTTTCTCAAAAAATAAATTACATTATAGCTGCCAAAATTTGTTCTTACTTTTTTCTTCTTTTCTATATCTATTTATTTTCACACTAAAAAAATGAAATAAGAATATGAAACTCAAATAATGATAACTTAATAGATCTATAAGGGAATAAAACTTAAATTAACCGTTGAATAAAAAAAGTCACAAAAATTCACATCAAATATAGCCTTATATGGATTTTTTAAATAACAAATTAAAATTATTTTTTCACTTGTTAGACAAAAAGGATATATCTAAGCAATAGACTTTGTTTAAGTAAATATGTTTAATGCTCAAGTAAAAGGTAACATTTTTGTGATAAGAAGCAAACCTTTTCATCAAAAAGAGGATTTGAGTTGTTGGCTGTAGGCATGAAATTCTGGAACTCAGGTAGTTCATACAAGATCATTGTTTGTAACTGAGGGAACTCAATGCGCTCGACATTGTCACTGCAAATGTGAGTCAGGCATTTCAGATTTACAAGCTTCAACTCATATAAATTGGGGAACTTGATTACTTCATGTGTTGTCTTCAATAAATGTGTCACTAAATCACATTGAGAGAGGCGGAGAAATTTAACGTTCTGAAATTCATTCAGCTGCAACTCAGTCAACACATTATTAGAGCCCTTTCCCCTTGACTCTACAAATTCACTCTCCTTCAACAGGTGGCAGATCCAATCACCCAATGGGGCAGTCTCCTTGACATCTAAAGCAATACACTTGTCGTAATCATCCATGTTTGAAATCCAAATACCCATTTCAAGAGTGTACCGTGTCAACTTGGAGGGAAGCCCAAGGTTACTGTACATCACATCACTCCAATCTTCTACTCCCACCATATGTAGTTCCTCCAATTGAGCTAGTTTTGATAACGCCCCTCCTGCAATCCTTACAGGTACTGAAAGACTACTATTTTTCCAAACATCTAACTTAATTAGCTTGGTCAACTTTCGTATCTCCTTTGGTAGCTCATCTAAATCACAAACATTTATGCGGAGAATTTCTAATTCGACAAGTTCCCCAATAAAGGATATGTCATACAACATTAACTTACTCAGACACAGAGTCCTCAGACTTGACAACCTCCTAATGGATGCTGGAAAACGCAGAATGCGCTCCTCAAATCTGTATCCACTCAGGCTCAAAACAACGAGGCTACTCATTTCATCAAAAAAATCGTCCTGTAGTTCGAATGGATCTTCAAAACGTTGTTTCAACATTAAAAGCTTCAGTTTTGGGCAAATTATTGGTCTAGGGTGCTCATCAAATTTATTTGCAACAATTGACATGTGAATGAAATGCTCATAAGAAGTTCTTGGGAACTCTTCCGAGTTAACATTGTGTCTTACCATAAAGTTATGCTCTCCCTCAGACGCAATACTTATAGCCACATCACGGACCACATCATGCATTTTCACATAATTTTTGTGTAAACCTTGGGATAACAAGAAACAATCTTTCAATATTTTTAATAGAAAACACACCTTATTTCTTGCATCTTCTAAATTTTCGATTCCCGAAAAGATGCGAAGCCCCATTCCATATTCAAGCAATTTTTCAATCCAAATATCACTATCTTCCTCAAACAAAGAACAAAGTAAAAACAGATACTTGACTTCATCACTTCCCAAGTAATCATAGCTTAGCCTCAGAGGTTTATACACCTTTGCGTCCACTCCAGGGATATTTCTTGTTTCTGCACGACGTAATTGTTTAAGGGCATACTCCCATGAAGGCTTGTCTTTACCCTTTAGTGCTCCTGCAACTGTAATAATTGCAAGTGGCAACCCCTTGATTTCTTCGACAACCTTTTTTGCTGTACCATGAATAGAAGGGTCGTCAACTGAATCACCGACTTTCTCTTTGAAAAGGCTCCATGCTTCCTCTTCAGATAATGTTCCAACTTCAATGATCTTCTTAGCTTCCATTACTTCACAAACATTTCGGGATCGCGTCGTCAATATCACTTTGCAGCGATGGTTGTGGTTGCTACCACTGGGAATTCCAAGTTTGTCTAGATCATGAAGAGCCTCCCAAACATCATCCAAGATTATAAGGTTGCGGCTGTTCTGATCCATTAACCTTGTATGCAGCTGATCTCCACGACTCCACAAATCATCCCCTTGTAATGTCAGCCCGAGTCCTGCTGCGATCTGACCCTGAAGTTTTATCCAGTCTGGATGTTGACTGACAGTTACCATGACGACATATTTGAAGAACCCTTGTTGTTTCTCCTTTAGTCTGATTTTCTCAGCGAGTGTTGTTTTACCAACACCACCCAAACCACATATCCCAATCATAGTGACCCCTTCATCTCTCACAGCTGCGATGACCTCTTCCTCTTTCAATTTTCTGGAGTCCAACTCCTCACCATTGTTACTATATATAGCCTCACTTTGACGATCAAAGGAGATTACAGTATTTTGAAGTGTAGTCAACTCCTCTGTAATTTTCTTAGCTCTCTTGCTGAGGGAGTAACGTGACTTCAAGTTTGGACACCAACCATTAAAGTAACCCCTTTCAACCTCAGCTCTACCTCCCATTACACCTTCCACTTGTGCAATAGTGGAATCAACACTTTCTAACCAAACCTCGCCACTGGGTGAAATGAGTCGTAAGTTTCTCCGGGCAATTTTCTCTTCTTGCTGCACCTCCCTTTTTCTTTTCTTCAGGTTCTCAGATTCATTTCCCATAGATGTGATGTTAGTGTTGTAGTAATATAAATACCCAATCCCTTGCTCCATTGGCTGCATCAACCAACCAGTGACATTCCCCACCAAAGTATATAAAGTTTCCATAATTTTTGGTTACAAGGAAGCAAAGCAAAGGTAGAATGAAAATAGGCTGAGAGTGAATGAATGCAAGAGACGAAATTCAAAACTGATAATAGCACCACTTTCAGGTATTAACTCTACTATTTTGGAAGTGACTAATAATTGTACTATTCCATTACAACTCTCACCCACCCCAAAAGCTTTTATTCAGAACAGATGAAAAAATAGACACAAACCATAAATACATACTCCTTTGAATTTGGCTTCAACAGATATTTATGTCATCTAACTTTGGATGTACACAAGTAAATATTATTTAAATTTATATAAAATTAAATAAGTAGACACACACGTCCTATGTGATATAATACCTTAAGACACAAAATTGCTATTTAGAATGTCATGTAAGACGAATGTTTTATATGTTCAATTTAATATAAATTTAAATTTTTATTTGTACACACCAAAAGAGTTCCAGAACATATATATTAGCGAAAACCAAGTTAAAGTAACATGCCTTTGGTAGGAAATATTTTACCCCCAAAGTGAAACGAGTGAATTTAAATATCGAAAGTAAAACCCAAAATATATTTGCACATCTTTCCGGTACTACTATTAACTCTCACCCACCCCAAAATCTTATATATATTGATCTTTAATTTATAATATTAATAAAAAAAAAGTTAATATACTTTTTGACATTCTTCTAATCATAAAATGATATATTTTTTTTAATATTTTAAGTATTTTTCTCTTTACTATTTAATTTATTTAAGTACAAAGAATAATTACCCATCACTTATACCTCTTTAATTTTTACTTTTAATAATATTCAAAACATATTTTAATTTCATGAAGATTCACATTCAAAAATATTCTTTCTCTTATTCATCATACTAGTTTGTAAATTAACTAACATGTAACAAATTGAAAAAGAAGCACACGGGATAAGAAACATTTCATTCTCAAGTCTTAATTATTATTTCCTCTATTTTACCTATATAAATTCATATTTAGTTTCATGAAGATTCTCATTCAAGATTATATTCTCTTCTTTAATATATTGGTTTGTGAATTAACTAACATGCAACCAAAAAGAAGTATATGAAGGTAAGAAGTATTTCATTCTCAAGTTTCTTTTCATTTTTATGTATTTTGGACGTGTTTTTTTAATATTTTATTTATGTATGTATTACCATTCTTCAAGCAAATATGATAAATAATATTTTTATAATAATGATTAATCTGTCGTCAGTATGTGATTGTGCTCTCAATTTAATATAAATTTATGTGTTTATTTGTGCACACCAAAAAGAATTGCA